AATGGGAAAACATACTTTATGAATACACTAATACCCAAAGGAGCTATAGCTTCTGGTATTTTTAGACTTAAATGCAACTACATACATGCATTTTTTTAAAGAAGGAAGTTTATACTTATATTCAGTGAGGATGCATTAAAATGATCAAAAATGACAATTACAATTACATGCTGTTCTTTTGAAGTTTCTATTCATGAAATAATCCTAAAAAATGTATGACCACAAAAATGTTTCCAGAAAAATATTAAGCAGCACTGCCGCTTTCAACATTGATAATGTTTCTTGAGCACCAACTTACCATATTAGAATGATTTCTGAAGGATCATGTGACACTGAAGACTGAAGTTTCACATTTTAAAATACATTTACATTTAAAATGAGAAAATAGTCATTTTACCAACCCATTTTGTATTGTAGTGTAAATGCATAAACTTGTTTTGCAATTGAATTAAAATTGTACCTATAGTTTACTTTAATATCTTCATTTAGTCATTTGATTTTTGTCTACAGGTCTTGCAATGTGACTGTTTTTCCTATGTCAACATTTTATTGATTGATTGATTAATTGATTGCCATTTTTGACTAAAAATTGTGTTGCTTGCTTCCCAACTTTTTTTTCCAGTAACATCCTGATATCTTATACAAAGGTTTCATTCCTTTCTTATTGCTTTCTTACTGTAAAAGTGCATGTCCTAACCAGTGTTAATTTCGTTGACGAACTAAAACTCTTTTTAAATGACAAAAACTATGACGTAAATCTATTGACATTTTCGTCAACGAATAAAAACGAGACGAAAATGTTAGGGAGGAACGATTTGGGAAGAGTTTCATTCAGAACGAATCTGCTACGTGGTTCGGAGATTAGATACGTACGTATGAACTGGCGGGACATAAGCTAACATACACTTGCTGCACGTCACATAAAACATTAAAAAATGTCAATATGTGGGAGTAAGAGAAGAGCAGACATATGGATAAATCTGACGACCCAAGAGAGAACTCAATTCGGTCCGGTTTTCTGAGCGCAGACAATAAAGCATCCGCACACAGAAAGCGCGTCTCACAGCGCGCGGGTACTCTTGCGCGTCGAATGAATGGAGAATTACACACAAAATGATGTCGAATTGTCCGTTTTCTAACATATACGCAGCTGGACATCGGGTGCATCCAGGGCTCGCAAAATCGCTAGCCCGACGTCCCGGGGCTATTGTGTTTTCCAGTCGGGCTACCAAAATGTTTCACCACTCTGCCCAATGGGCTATCTTGAACAGTGATATACAATTCCTTCCTTGATTTGCGTTGTTCGCTAGCTTGTAGGGGTAAAACGGATCATAGTTAATCGTTTGCACGTGTTTCTATGTCTTGCCGATTTAAACATTCAAGTGTTTTAAACCATTCACGCGCATTCGGAGCTGTGCGCACTCATTCATAGCGCGCACAGAGAGCCGCGTTTCAGACAATTCGCGTACACAGAATTGATTCATCTTTCACATATCCTTGCATCTGAATGAACACATACAAAATTATCTCAAAATAACTCTAGGCAAGTATTCTCGTAAACACAGTTGGTTATGTCTTAAGGGAACGTAAACAGTGGAAACAGAAATCTCAAGTGCATCATTATATTGGATCCGTGCATTCGGTCTTAAAGGGGCAGCAGCCTATAAATACCTGCTGTTCCATAAGCGCCACCTGCTGTCAGAGAGTGACATTTGCGTCTCATTCACAAAGCTAAAATCAGACCATTCTGTTTTTGCTTCAAATTTTTGAAATTATACAATCTAATTGCAATCTAAATAACATGTATTTAGCATCTTTGTTTGGATCATGATTAAAATGCATTTTTTGCCTCCACAGCCAAAGCATTAGTTTGTGAAGAGATTTATTTTATTTGTATTATTTAATTATTTGATTAGGGATTTGTTTTAAAATTTCAAGTTAGTTTTATTATTTGACATATTTAAATTTCACAAAGAAATGTGCAGCATTTTTTTGGAGAAATAATAAAAGGACACCTTTTCATTTATAATTTGTCTTAAATCTCATTTTGTTAAAAAGAAAAATTGTGAGAAAATTGTATTGTGCAATCAGTATCGTGAATCGCATCGTGAGTTGAGTGAATGGTTACATCCCTATATGCTACTAGTTTTTGCTGTGGTATCAAAGAAGTATTCTGTTATTTAAATAATAAAAAACCATTTTTTTTTGCTCATCTGCAATATGACCCGATCTGTTATTCATAATCTGATATGATAATGCAATATGATTCAAGCCGTGGGTTTTGTGATCCGTTGCACCCCTACTCTCTTGACTTGCTATTCGAAGAAAAAAAAGTGATCACTGAAGTTTTTAATCATGCTGATTTGTCCGCAGTGAAGTTCAACCGATGTGTTTTTTTCCCCTTTTATTCTGGCTACTTAAATTCATTTTGGGCTACCAAAATCTGAAGAATGTCTGCCCGAAGGGCTACCAGCGATTTTGAAATTTTGCGAGCCCTGCAGAGAAAGAATTTCCGACTGTATATCAATGAACGGATCGATGTGTTTGCATCGACCGATGCTTTGAAATCAATACCCGGTATGTTAAGTCAGAAGGTGTGTTGATGTGTTTTAAAAGAGCAAGCCGGAAGGCTTAATCAGTGCACGCCTTTCACCCGCCGAGACTTCGGAGGTTTCTTTGCTCATTATAAAGTACGTGTATGTGTGTGTCCATGTTTGTAAACACAGGTTTGTGGATAGAGCTGTTACCCAGTGTACACGGTGTGTATGCATTATTATTATGATGCTGCTGTGGGTACCACGCCACTCCAGGGACCAAGACTTGAGAGGCCCCCTTAAAATACCGCGCAATAATTGGAATTGCTTTATCTTTAGTCTCATCAATTAAAGTGCAATTTTCCATTTAATTACCAACTCGCACACAAAATTTGCAATTAAAATGAGGCGAGATAACAGCGAAGATGCCTTTCGGCTGATAGCACTTGGAATGAGAACACAGGCGTTGTGTGTAATCAGTATACAAATCACACACACACAACGTTCTCAATTTGTATGATTTGGACGAGCTTCATAAAATATGCAATGCCAAGCTAGAATCTAATTTGTGCTTGGAAAATTCCTCATGTTTCCACGAAGTCCAACATGAAACGCGCAGAGGTGCTGATGGTGTTTATGATCATGATAACCCAAAACTGTGTGTGTGTGCGAGATCTCCTTAAAATAGCTGTTTGGTTTGTCTTGGCCCCTTCAACCATTTTCCACACACTCCTGCCAACCTGAAGATGAGCTGCAAGGGAAAAAATGATCTTTCCTGTTTTCCTGCTTGAACTGTTGTCTGTCTGCTGTCTGAGGAAGGTTACATCCTGTCCGCCGTCTGAGAGACTTGGCTTCTGTACTGAATTCTGCTCTGTGTCTCCTTGATTTTCCCACAATCCTCTTGACAATTCTCTTGTTCTGCTGTCCACAGAATTATTGTTGCAAACTTTGATTGATGCAAACAATTGGAAAATGTGCATAAACACGATTCTATGCCTGATTTCAAGCTAAGATATAGACTGATCTAACAAGCTATTCTCAAGAGAGACAATTACTACTACTAAAGCGCAGAAAGAACTTTATAGGTCACGTTTTAAATGAGTGATTTATGTCTCGTGTAATTACCGAGCGGAGCAGAGGTCCCACCCACATTAACTCGGCAGATGTGATTGTACTGTTCTTTCAGAGTAATTATATATGATTGCTTATGTATTTTTAGTATTCTTTACAATTGTGAGCTTCTGCTTCTTACATCTGTGGGCTGCTACTAAAAGCCTGGAGCTCAATGGTGGACTGAAGACCGTGTTTTGGGGGGTCAAACTGTCTGAAATGATCATTTTAATTTGGGAGTGATTTCAATGAGGTTCTGTAATGAAAATTTTACAAAAGACTCAGCAAGTTGAATATAGTTGTATATGCTTACAGCTGTCTTCTTGTGTTTGGTTGGCACTAAATCTTATTTTGAATGCACTCAGACTGATTGGAAAATCAATATGGGAGAGACAATACCTAAACATTCAAAGATGTTTGTGGTAATAGACTTGGTAAGAGCATATATAACTGGAAAAGAAATAAGAAAGCTAGTGTTGCATTTATTTATTTAAAAATTCAAGAAAACCTTTCTTTGAAAAAAAAAGTGCAAATTTTATGACATTTCAAAATGTGAGCAAAGAGTACAGAACATTTGTACTTGATAAAGCTTCACTTAGAAATGGGGTTCAGGGGTCCATGTGCAGTAACATGGGGCCAATTATCTGTAGTCAGGGTTTCCCACAGAGCACTGTCTCTGGAGTCCACCCTTCCCTTGCCCAGTGTCAATTACTCTTCTGACAACAGAACTAATGAGCCCCTGATTGGCCTGCTGGGGTTGTCATGTTTACCTTAGAAAACACCATCTCATCATCATGTACCTGCACCTCAAGGTGCTTATTTGGTTTTCTGGACAGACGCACTGCTAACAGTTTTTCCTGGGTTGTCGGCGATCTGTTAGATTGTCACACATTGTCATTTGTAAATTCTAGTATTATGTATGAACTTTTGTGTACAGAATTGCATTAAATGGACACTCTGGGTATTTTATATTTACAATTTTTGCCTTAAGGTTTGTAATCCATAGGACTACAAATTACAAATGCAGACCTTGATGTGTTCCCTGGCCTCATAAAGATTTTTTATTTTATTTTATTTTAACTTACAACAACATTGTATGAAAGTTTTTTCGTGAGTTTAAGTACAGCAGCACCTAGTGGTGTGTCATGGAATTGTTTCAGTGAAGAACTGAGGAAAGCTGCAAGGATATATTTATTTATATATTTTCATCAGTGTTATCAATTAAAATTATGCAATCTGCTATAAAAGATAGAAAGCACAATTATTTTCCTTCTGGTAAGTAGGCCAGTAGATATGAATTTGGCCATGAAACCGGACTGTAAATAATTTTTCGTGTAACTGTTTTGTTTCCGTCAGGATCTCCATGTGAAGCTATCCCATGATGCAACATGTGTCCCCAGCACCAGCATTGACCATGATGGCCACACAGAGCGTCCCTCCACCATCGTACCAGGAGAGCCAACAGGTCGGTTAACAAACAAACTGTTTTTTTTTTATTGATTATAATACTGATTATTATTGTAATATTACTGTTCATTAGAAAGATAAAAATACATTCACTTACCTCAGTAGTTGCATAACAAATAAATAAGAAAAGGAAAAAAAAATTATACTGTTTAAGCTTTTTTTTTTTTTCAGTAAGGTTATTACAGTAAACTGTGGCTTTGTCTCAAATTGTGGCTGTCAGAAAGGTACATCTGTAGTTCTGTACAATGTCATATCTTCATTGTGCTTGTCCTGAGTTAATCAGAGGGGCACAGAGCAGCGTTTTTGTCCCAGAGCCCCCTCTCCCTGTCCGGCTGCTGTCTCCTTCCACCCTGAGGATTAGAGGCTGGGGAGAAGAGCAGCGCGCTGGTGGAGACATGCAAATGAGTGCTAGTTAAGTGTGAAGAAGCTAATTTATTTCCTATTTGAGGCTGGGATTAAGACTTCCAGCTTCCTCCCTTAAACCATTTTTGTTCTGGGGAGTGAGACAGGAGGGGGCTGTTTCAAAGCAGCATCACAAGAGAGAAAAACAGGGCAGGAGAGACAGGGAAGCATAGACAACAGACAAGTTGTACTCTCTCTCCCACTAATGCATCCTAAACAGGGTATTTGTTCATCTTGACAGTGTTTCGATTGCTAAAGGGTGAGACCTCTGCCCACCTCGACTGCCGGAGTTTTATTTGATGACTAGGTGGAACGTTTTCCTGCAGAAGGTGACCTACGTAAAATTTTAGGGGTCAAGTGCCTCGATTTAGATTCCAGATTTTAATGAGACCATAAGCGGCATTGTCTTGCATTGTCAGAGACAGTGGAAGAGCCTTCCTGAATATGTATGCTGGGGGAAAAATACATGTTTCCTTGCTAGCTTTTGACTCAAGTTTTTCTAGAACTTTATCTGGACGTGTGCCGTTTTCCCTCTGTCGCGGAATAGATAACAAACCAGATTACTATGCGCACATTTCCGCTCTTATAGCTCCTTAAAAAAAGCATCGTAACCCATTAAAGAACACAAAAGTGATGCGTTCATAAACTAAATCTGATAAGACGACAGTGCCTGGCTGTGAGCCATCAATAACATGCACATGAGCAAGATGATCTTGAACTGCATCTTTGGCCCACTGGCGCAGAGGGGGTAAAAGCAGGATGGGTTGCGCTGTCTCCCCCAAAAAAATTTTCTTCCGTTATCTGTCAGCAATTATAGCTGTTTTTAAATTTTAAAAAAAATTCTGGAAAGGACACAATTCATTTGATAAAAAAGAGAGAGAATCTCCTTGGTGTTCAACATTGTTAATTCTGATCTGAAAAGAATAGTTTAATAGTTTTAAATAGGAAAATGATCTTCATTTACTCACTCTAATGATCTAGCAAACCTGTGTTATGTTTTTTTTTTTTGGTCATCCATTGAACATATAAGGAAATATTGTTTATGGTTGCCAAGAAATGCAAAGTTCAGTTGAATTTGAAATCATAACGTTTCTATGAAACTACTGTGTAATGTTCTTATTAGGGGTTGTAGCGAATCAGCTCATAGGGGAAATATGAATAATGAATCATAACTAGTTATAATTAATTATAAATATTTAAATCCGCTGTAGCTATTTACTTGACCTCTCAGGGTCAACTGTCTGTCAATTCTAAGAACGTTAATTTCCTGGTTAAGGGAAATAACTTTCTTACTGTACAACTCTACACGTCATTGCAGACATCCTGGCACCCAGTTTATTGGGTGAGGGGACTGTGACGATTTGTTAATCTAATGAATAACTGATTTGTTAAATCAAATGAAAAATTGTGTGTTTGATTGGTCTAGACGCTACAGGGTTGACCGATTTATCGGCACCGATATTAAGCATTTTTATGGTCATCGGTATCGGTCATTTTTAAAACCGATTTGCCGATACAATAATTTAAAAGCATTTAAGAAAAGAATTGTCAGAGCCCTTGCTATTCTTAATTTTGACATTCATTTTCATTTTTACACCAGACACCATACATCGGTCAAAATATCAGTTATCGGTCAACTTGATCTGTAATAATCGGTATCAGCATCGGCCCTGAAAAACATATCGGTCAACCCCTGGTTCTTATTATTTTAGTTATTGTCCATCAAGTTTCAAATAAAACAGAAAATAATCACAAATGATTATGATGAAGTACCTTTCATTTCTAGAATATTTGAATCACTGGATTATCCATGAATACTACAATGATATTTAATATATAAGCAATTAATTCTAGTAGATGGATAAATCAAGCTACAAAATGGACAAAAAAAGTATTGTTAAAGTAGTCTTTTTAAATATTTTTGTGTAATATGGTCTAGACTGCAGAGCTATAGTTATTTTGTATTCTGTATTTCTTCAGATGACAGGCACTACGCAGCAAAACTCAAAGGTCCAGCATGTCCACCTCTCTGCAGCCTCAGCGGCAGGGGCCACACAGGTCAGCGTGACCCTTGACCCCCAAGCCCAACTGGAGTCAGACAAACGAGCCGTTTACAGGTGAGTATTATGCACTAATGCAGCTTCTTATTAAGGACATAATTTATAAGTAAATCTAGATTTGTACTTACTCTGAAGAAAATGTGAGCAGTGCTTATAAATGCAAAAAATGATGCAAGGATGCTGTGTGGTTGCTAAGGTGTTCTGGTTGGTCACTAGGGCACTGCAAGGTGGTTGCTTACTGGAAAAGTAAAAATGCATAAACAAAAATACGTTGCCATTCAAAAGTTTAGGGTCTGTAATATTTAGTTTTTTAATGTTTAATGTTTGAAAGAATTCTCTTGTGCTCTCCAAGTCTGCAAAAATACAGGAAAAGCAGTAATATAATGAAATACTACAGTATTACACTTTAAAATAACTGTTTTCTATTTTAATATATTTTAAAATATATTAAGCTAAATTTTCAGCACTAATTACTCCAGTCTTCTGTGTCACTTGAACCTTTCAGATATCATTTTAATATGCAGATTTTTTCTTATTATTATCAGTGTTGAAAATAATTGTACTGCTTAATATTTTAGAGGAAACATGATATATTTTACATGCAGGATTCATTGATGAATGGAAAGTAAAATGATAAAAATAAATAAAAAATTTAACTTTGGAACAGTAGTTTATATATATATATATATGCCAAAGTATGAAAGTTTTGTGTTCCTTCATATTTTCCCAGTGAATATTATGTAGGTACCTGTACACCATTGTTCCATCAGAAATAAATAATGCAGTTTTATAGTTATTTGAAACCCTCATAACATATTGATCTAAATACAAGCATACAGACTAGACGCTTGATTTGGATAGCAACATGCCTGCATAAGTCATATTTTCCTCGTTTATTCATGAAGTAAATAATACATGGCACACTGACACTTTAAATACTTAAAGCCTCATTCCCAAACCTCCCCTCCCCGGTTGATTACAGCGCGGCTGTTTGCGAGCTGCATGCATATCGTAGCATCGTCCGCGAGGGCTCGTTCAACCGGCTGCAGCAATGGCTATGATTAGCGGTGTCTCGCGGCGGCGTGGCAGAGGCCCGTGGTTTCACGCTAACCCCTGAGGCAGGTCTGTGAAGGCCTGGGCAGGCCTGGGGCTCAGTCTCTCAGCTCCTCAGAGAGAGAAAGCTGCCTTTGATGTGAGCAGCCAGCCTGAGGCGGCCTGCAGGCGGTGTTAAAAAAAAGCCTAGACTCAGCCTACATTCACACTACACACACACACAGTGTCTGCTCCTACTTCCCCCTCATTCCTAGTCACATATACTCAAGCACAGACTCGGCTTCTCACACGGCGTATATAACTCACCACCTTCTCTCTCTCTCACGACACACACACACACAGATTTCTGGTTTCATCCTACATGACACATCTTAAGTGCTCTAAATATTCAAAGGCGCAGCAGAGAGCCTTCACTCATAACTTGTTCTGATTCTCATCCAAACGCACACCGGCACAATGAAAGCGTACAGGTGAGGTAGAACCCGTGGAGGATTCTAGATGTGACATCTCGTGCTGTCAGGTGTCTAATGCAATTAAAGTGCAAATATTCAATAATGCAAGTTAATGTAATTTAAGTTTATTGTGTATAAAGCAGAAATGTATTGTTTATTAAATGTAAATGTTTCTACTTAAATAATAAGTATTTATTTAGTTGTTTCATAATATATGCATTATAATTTCTCATAATTGCCGAGTCAGTGTTATATTGGCCAAGCAACCGTGTACATGTTGAGTCTGTTATGGGAACAAGAAAAAAAAGGTGACAAAACTGTTTATATATTCTTTTTTTTTTTTTAGCAAAATAAATGGAGAGCATGAAGCTGACTTTGCATTATAGACTTCCGTTCAAAAGTTTGGGGTCAGTTTTTTTTAAAAGGGGTGGTTGATTGCGATTTCACTTTTTTTACGTTAGTTAGTGTGAGGTAAATTATGTGAAAAATAATGTGTTTTTTAAAAACTAAGCATTAACACATGTTAGACTGCACCCCATAAACACAATCAAGCCTAGAAAAAAAACAGTGAACCACCCCTTTAAATAAATTTATAATTTCATTAAATGCATTAAATTGATCAGAATTGACAATAAAACATTTACATTATAACATTTACATAATAACAAAAACAATATAAAAAAATGCTGTTGTTTTTTTGTTTGTTTTGTTTTTACTTTCTATTACTTTCTACTACACAACTGTCTTCAGTATTGATAATAATGTTTCTTGAAAAATGCATATTAGAATGATTTCTGAAGGATCATGTGACACTGAAGACTAGAGCAATGGCTGCTGAAAATTCACCTTTGCTGTCCCAGAAATAAATTATTGGGGAAGTGTGGGGAAGTCGTGGCCTAATGGTTAGAGAGTCGGACTCGTAACCCAAAGGTTGTGGGTTCGAGTCTCGTACCGGCAGGGATTGTAGGTGGGGGGAGTGAATGTACTTGCATCACAGGTATAAATTACATTTAAAAATATGTTTAAATAGAAAACAGTTATTTTAAATTGTAATAATATTTCACAACATGACTGTTTTTCACTCACTTTTTTTCTTGATCATACAGTATAAATGCATCCTTGGTGAGCATTAAAATATCTTTCCTAACTTAAACGTTAGTGGGATTTGTTTTTACAGTAGATTTGCTCTGCATTTGTTATGTAGAGTAAAGAGCAACATGGTATCTCACCTCCAAAACTATTGTGGGTATTTAACAGAGCAGATTTTTGTGTGTGTATCTGTTTGTTTATAGTGTATCCTCATGTATTGTTTTGATTCAATTTGGCAGGTTAGTGTTTATTTCTGCACCTCTCGTTTCTCTAATTGCCAGTATTGCGAGTTTGAGTTGTGGAGTCTATGCTCTGGCGTGCGTTGCTTAATTATTAACAGTGGAATAAATGTGCGATACAGTAATTATCTTAACGAGTTACTGCACTCTCTTTTAAAGCATCCGAGATATTCTCTTCTTATTAGAAACATGGCAGGGGGTCTCTTTCCTGTGGGGTACTTGCGACATATCCAAAATTAGGTCCAGTAAAATCCAGCATCCAGGAGATGAAATTGTAATATGTATCCGAAGAAGTTCCTGAGGGTGTAAAATTCAGCACTATTCCACAATGATAAGAGTGAAACGGAAAGGAAACTCAGATGGGAAGAGTTTGATGAGTGAACTGAATAAAGAAACCTAGCAAAGTCAAACTTTTAAAATGTTTTTCAATCCTTCATTCTTAAGGCAAATCTCTAATTATTATAATATCAAAATGAAATAAATAAGACTTTTACTACAAGCAAATCCAAAGTAGCCAATATATTGGTAATTTGTGTCCATTATAATCCATAATAAATCCTTCAAATTTAGACAAAGCGGTTTTGTGTGTACAGAATTGTATCCTGATGCTTTGCGCCTCTCATCCTCCGTCTTTTGATGTATTTATGTATAGCATTCAGACCCCCGAAGGTGTGCTTATATTAAGGTATTGAAATGTCTGAATGGGTTTATATGTGTTTTTCCCTTCTCGCCGTGACTCCGATTGGCGGGTGCTGAGTGGATTTGCATTGATACTGGATTTCGGTCTCATGGTGCACAGTCATGCTGTCTTCATTGAGCTCCAGTGGATCAGGAGTGTCTTGGACTGACGGAAGAGAGAGAGATAGAGGGAAGAAGATGGAATACCAAACAGAAAAGAAGAAAAGGAAAAGAAAAAGGAAAGAGTTAGAGAACAGCTTTAGTAGACCCAGCAGCAGTGCATATCAGTCCCAACAGGAGTGCTTTTAATTTGACAGCCAGAGAGAAAATGGTGAGCCAGTTTTTCCCAGCCTCTGTAATGCTCCATAAATTCTGTTTACATTCGCTGTTGGGAAGCTCTCGCAGTCATTTGGTGGAATTGGTGCCCAACATCTTAATGACTCTCTCTCTCTCTCTTAGTAATGGTGCTGAGATTTCTATACCATACAGAAGTCATCGTCATGTCTGAGCCATAGATTCATCCTGAGAGCGAGTCGGTCCTGATCACGAGGATGTATATTTGAGATTGTTACTGGCAGGTTATGGTAAATAATACTCAAAGGAAATCTCTGAGGGCTCATTTATATCTGAGTAAGATTTTGTTCCTCAATTTAAAACTGTAGATTTCGAGTTTTATTCCATTTCATCCTGTCTTGTGTCTCCAGGGTGCAGAGTGTTCTGAACTTCACAGACTGACTGTCTGAAGATTGAACGTGTGTGTTTGTGTTAGCAGGATCTGCACAAGTCTGAATGAATCTAATACTCATTAGCGGTGCTTGCTAAGGCAGTATTATTGCTCAGGGCTGCTCAAATCTCAGTTTCGTTTGAACATTATTTCATAGAGACTTAGCAACCACCCAGAATACCTTAGCATTGATCTAAAAAAACACCCTGACCAGCCTAGCAACTGCATACAGTAGCAATGTCCAATCAACCACCCAGATCAGTATAGCAGTGCTATAAAAATATCCAGAACAACCACATAACATTTTACAAATCACCCAGGCCAGCCAAGAAATGCATACAGTAGCAGTGCCCTAGAAACCACACAAAATACCCTAACAACCACAAAAATACTGAGAACCATAGCAGCCATATAATAACACCCTGGCAACCACATACCAACACCCTAGAAACTACTCGGAACACCATAGCAGCTATATTGCAACACAAACCAACTTGAACACCTTAGCAACTACATAGCATGTCATGGGGGTGACTCTTTCTCATTTTTCATCTTTCTGATTGATTTATGTGGCATCTCTACATTTAAACGTTGGTGTAACTGTACACAAGTATGCCGGTTTGGTACCTCGGTTTTGACATCATGGTTCGGTATGGTTTTGGTACAGCAGGGGGAAAAAAATAAAATAAAATAGCTTTTTTATTAAACAGTGGTTTACTGAACAAATTGGTCTTTTTTCAAATAAATTTAATTATAATTAAAACATTTTAACTTATGCACTTAACTATAGTGAGCCCTTTTATATTATAAGGTTACAATTAA